TTTGCTTTTTGTTTATATACAAGTGGCTTCCTTACAGAAAACAAACTCCACTTCCTTCTGGCACTGATAATGTTACCTAGTTGGGTTATGAGACATCTGCAAGAAAATAACCCAGCTCAGAGAGCACCCAATGAAATCCATGCATGCTGGGTGGGGTGGGGGAATTCTGGGAGTTGAAGTCCACCCCCCTTAACGTTGCCGAGGCTGAGAAAGAAACGCTGCCCCCAGACTGCCTTTTTCTGATTTATGAGGATCCTGGAGGAGATTTTTAGCTTTGGCACAGCCTCATTTGAAAGATCGTACTCTGCTCATGTGTCTCCTTAATGAAAAACAGACTTTCCTGGCTGAGCCTCCCAAATTGAATTTCTCCTCCACTCGTTTTGCTGTGGGATTTTTTTGGCTTGACGTGAAAACCAGCAAAGCTTTAATCGAATGAAATGGGGAGCTTTTGGTTATTTTTGCCCAATGGATCCCAGGCCAGGGTGGGATAAAACTCAATGATTTTTTTTTTTTTTAAAAATAAAAATAAAAAAATCAGATTTTAAAAATTTAAATTGGATTTTTATTTTTTATTTTTAATCAAATTTATTTTAATAAAATGCTTTTGGAGTAAAAAAAAATCTAGCTAAAGATAGTTTTCTATTTAAGATACATTCACAGTTTAGTTTTATTCGGCACGAAATGGAGCTTAGTTCGGTAGCATATCAGGCTGTAGATTCGGCAATATTGGGACTGTCGGTGAGCTAAACAGACGATCAGAGGAGGAGCCGCTGAGGAACAGAGATGACAGTTGCTCTTTAAAAATGATGATTTAAATCGAGTGGATTTAAATCAAGCCTTTTTACTAGTGATTTGAATCGTGGTTTAAATCGTGATTTTGAATCATGGTTTAAATTGTGATTTGAATCATGGTTTAAATCGTGATTTGAATCGTGATTTGAATCAACTTGATTTAAATCAAATCCACCCTGTCCCAGGCGCAGGAGAAGGACGCCTCTTGACAATTAGCATCCACTCCTTTCCATCCCCCCAAAAAATACAGGTAGTCTCGACTTACGACCGTTGCAGCATCCCCTTTTGCGACCTTCTCACAAGCAAACTCAACGGGGAAGCCAGATTCACGTAACAACCATGTCCCTAACTTAACTGCAGTGATTCACTTAACAGCTGTGGCAAGGAAGGTTGTAAAATGGGGCCAAATTCACTGCCTCGCTTAACAGCAGAGATTCTGGGCTCAATTGTGGTCGTATAGTCGAGGACTTCCTGTAGTTAGATTTTTGCTTATTTTAATGGGTTTTAATATATGTTTAAATTATATATTTGTACATTTATGTGTTTTATGTGTGCACGTTTATGTATTTTATGTTTTATTGGGCTTGCTTTTATTTGTTGTGAGCTGCCCTGAGTCCTACGGAGATAGGGCGGCATACAAATTATATTAAATAAATTAAATAAATAAGTTAATTTGGTGGATAGAGGCTGATACTTCTTCACTTGCAGGATATTCTTAAGTGTGGTTGTGTGTTTGGTTGTGTGTTTGTGTGTCAGCAATATCCTTCGGTTATCTGCCACCACTTCTGTGATTTTTGTCAAGCTGCCAGTGCTAATTGGTTGGCTGTAAAGTGAATACTTCATTAAGAGGGAATGCACGAACGATTCTATAAGTCCTCCAATTTCTCCTTTTTCCTACTTACTAAATGTCAGATTCACACGGCGGCAGGGGAAACCTCGGTTTTGCTTTTGCAAAGCGATGCATTTCTAAACGGAGGACGTTGATTGGTTTATTTCTCTCCTGAAACACAAAAAGGAAACAAATCCAATAAAACCATCCAGTCCCTTTAATCCGGTTTCATCCTGGTTCGCTTTGCTTCAGATAGTTGGTTTCAGATCCTCCGTGGATTTGGAAGGTGGTTTTCGTGATACATTTCATGATACGAAAGGAACGCGGTGGCTCAGGGGCTCAGACGCTGAGCTTGTCAAATCGAAAGGTCGGCAGTTCAGCGGTTCGAATCCCTGGCGCCACGTAACGGGGTGAGCTCCTGTTCCTTGTCCCAGCTTCTGCCAACCTAGCAGTTCGAAAGCACATTAAAAAAATGCAAGTAGAAAAATAGGGACCACCTTTGGTGGGAAGGGAACAGCGTTCCGTGCGCCTTTGGCGTTGAGTCATGCCGGCCACATGACCACGGAGACGTCTTCGGACAGCGCTGGCTCTTCGGCTTTAAAACGGAGGTGAGCACCGCCCCCTAGAGTCGGGAACGACTAGCACCATCACTGCCTTATACTATTCTGGCCAAGTGGCTGTTAAATCTCTTCTTAAAAACCTCCAGGGATGTAGCATCTACAACTTCTGGTGGCCAGCCGTTCCACTGGTTAATTGTTCTCACAGTCAGGAAATTCCTCCTTAGTTCTAAGTTGCTTCTCTCCTTGGTTAGTTTCCATCCGTTGTTTCTTGTCCTGCCTTCAGGTGCTTTGGAGAATAGGTTGACTCCCTCTTCTTTGGGGCAGCCCCTGAGATATTGGAAGACTGCTATCATGTCTCCCCTGGCCCTTCTCTTTTATTTTTAAAGACATACCTAGTTCCTTTAGCAATTCATCCCACAGTTCCAACCCCCAGACCACTAATTATTTTTGTGGCTCTGCTCTGTGGGTCAAAGTTTGAAGGGCTGAATTAGCAAGAGAAGGACATTTTGGATGACTCACTCGTTTTTGGATGCATCTGGAGAAGTTTGGAAACCTTCGGTGTCCTAGTGAAAAGTGGACTTTCTCAACATTCCTCTCCTAAATGAATGGAGATTTTCCAGATGAGAAAAAACAACAACACAATAACTTGAGATTCTACATTGTCGGTTCCCCCCAAAGCAGATATTCTGCATTCTTGCCAATGCAGTTCATGATTTTCAAAGTGAAGAACAAAATTAGGGGTGTTTTTTTTTTTTTTTTACTGCTATGCAACTTTTCTGAAAAATGATTTATGACAGGACAGAGGTCACTTGGTGTTGGACAGAGAAGGCATTGTCCTTCAGTACGTCACCGGTCGCTAAATTGCAAAACTGCATTCATTTCTGTTCTCTCTACCCATTTAGCTTCTCTGTATGCGCAATTAATAATTATTCCTCCCTCCCCCATACAACGATAGAAATTTAGAGGAATTTAGGATTTAGGCCATGAAGATGGTTTTAAGGAGGGCTGGGGGGTCTCTGCTAAGGAGAGGGACCCTATTTTTGCAGTGTGCCGAGTCCGAGAAAGAAATAAAAGTCAAAAAAAGCCAACACAATCCTAGGCTGCATTAACAGAGGAATAGAATCAAGATCACGTGAAGTGTTAATACCACTTTATAAGGCCACACTTGGAATCCTGCATCCAGTTTTGGTCGCCACGATGTAAAAAAAACGATGTTGAGACTCTAGAAAGAGTGCAGAGAAGAGCAGCAAAGAGGATTAGGGGACTGGAGGCTAAAATATTTGACAAACAATTGCAGAAATTAGGTATATCTAGTCTAAGGAGGGAGGAGAAGGATTAGGGATGATGTGATAGCAGTCTACCACTATTTGAAGGGCTGCCACAGAGAAGAGAGGGCCAAGCTATTTTCCAAAGCACCTGAAGGCAGGACAAGAAGCAACGAATGGAAATGTCTATAGAGGTTCTCCATCATCCAGGTTAATGGTTGTCCCACAAGTGTTTTTTTTTTCAAGTGGCAACTGGACTTTCTTATTTTTTTCTTTGAACTCGTTTCGCTTCTCATCCAAGAAGCTTTTTCAGCTCTGAGCTGGCAAGACGGAGTTTCTAGCCACCAGCTGGACGTCTCTACGATGCACAAAAACAGAGATGCATCCATTACATCACAGGTTGAGATGGGAGACAGATAATCTGTAGATGTCTGGCTTCAATTTAAATGCAAGACATCATTGATCCAGTTGAGTTCATTTTTGGAACAGGACCATATCTCTTGGCCCAGTTGAGTTGGTTCTTGGAACAGGAGCCAGCATCAACCCAGTTGAGTTGGTTCTTGGAACAGGACCACGTCTCTTGGCCCAGTTGAGTTGGTTGTCGGAACAGGAGCCAGCATTGGCTCAGTTGAGTTGGTTCTTGGAACAGGACCATATCTCTTGGCCCAGTTGAGTTGGTTGTCGGAACAGGAGCCAGCATTGACTCAGTTGAGTTGGTTGTTGGAATAGGACCATATCTCTTGGCCCAGTTGAGTTGGTTGTCGGAACAGGAGCCAGCATTGACTCAGTTGAGTTGGTTCTTGGAACAGGACCATATCTCTTGGCCCAGTTGAGTTGGTTGTCGGAACAGGAGCCAGCATTGACTCAGTTAGTTGGTTGTTGGAACAGGACCATATCTCTTGGCCCAGTTGAGTTGGATGTTGGAACAGAACCACGTCTCTTGGCCCAGTTGAGTTGCTTGTTGGAATAGAACCATGTCATTGATCCACTTGAGTTGCTTGTTGGAGGAGGGCCATATCTCTTGGTCCACTTGAGTTGCTTGTTGGAATAGGACCACATCTCTTGGCCCAGTTGAGTTGGTTGTTGGAATAGGACATGTCATTGATCCAGTTGAGTTGGTTCTTGGAACAGGACCCACCATTAACCCAGTTGAGTTGGTTCTTGGAATAGGATCATGTCTCTTGGCCCAGTTGAGTTGGTTCTTGGAAAAGGACCCAGCATTGACCCAGTTGAGTTGGTTGTTGGAACTGAACCACATTCTTGACTCAGTTGTTTGTGGGAATAGAGCCACAGTCCAATCTTACTTTGCATGGTTGCTGTTGGGAGGGAGTGTTCAAAATTGAGAGGGCTTTTATGTTTCCATGAACCAGAACAAAATCCCGGCACAAACTTCTAGCCAGCAAAGAAATCCATAAGGCTTCTTTCCCAGGTTCACGTACCAAAGATGAAGATTGGGACAGAAACGGCCTTAAGATCGTCTTGAACTTCTGCATCCACATTTTCCCTCCTGGCCTTGACCAAGAAATCTGTTTTGTCTCTCTCTCTCTCTTGCAGGACATCTGTGAAGACCCCCATCTCTTTGTGGATGGAATCAGCTCCCATGACTTACATCAGGGGCAGGTGGGCAACTGCTGGTTCGTGGCTGCCTGCTCAGCGTTGGCATCCAGAGAGGCCCTATGGCAGAAGGTAACCAGTTTGGAAATTGTCAGAAAAAAAATAATCTTATTTGCTCCTATGGCTGTGTTGACACAACATACAGTAGTGGCCAAAATTATGGAAACCTTTTGGGAAAAGTGTATTTTTGAGGTTTGATGGCTAATAACACCACTTTTTTTTGTGGAGTTTCAAGATTCCACTGCTGGAATGGCCTGGGAATAGCCCAGATCTTCACCCAATGGAAAATCTATGGAGCCGACTAAAGAAACTTGTTAGTCAGAAGCGACCCAGCAATAAAACCCAGTTAACAGAAGCCATCATTCCATCTTGGTTTCACATTAAAACAGCTGCAGAACTCAAAGACTTGGTTCACTCCATGGGAAGACGTTGTAAGGCTGGAATTCATGCTAAAGGTTACCCAACGAAGCATCAACTGACATGATGATAATTTTTGCATATCTCGTGTTTTCCATGGTGATCATTTTTGTATATCTCGTTTTTTCTACGTGTTTCACTTTTCTTCTTTATACTGTAACTGCTATTCTAATAGCAAATCCTTCACAAAACTGATTGCATGACATTCTTGATTAAATTATCTTTCCATTGATATATAATTTTATGGTACTACTACTTCAAAAAAAAGTGGTGTTATTAGCTAGTTTTAGAAAATACACTTTTCCCAAAAGGTTTCCACAATTTTGGCCACTACGGTACTTAGCTGTCGTGTGAACTGGGCTCGTAACAGGTCGTCTTCAACTTACGACCACAATTGAGCCCAGAATCTCTGTTGCTAAGCGAGACAGTTATTAAGTGAGCTTTATCCCATTTTGCAACCGTCGTTAACCGAATCACTGCAATGGTTAAGTTAGTCACACCGTTATTCAGTGAATCTGGCTTCTCCATTGACTTTGCTTGTGAGAAGGTCAACAAAAGTTGGTTCCATGATCCTGGGGACACTGCCACCGTCATAAACATGAGTCGGTTGCCAAGTGTCTGAATTTTGATCACGTGCAGATGCTGTAACGGTCGTAAAGTGTGAAAAACCGTCGTGTGTCACTTTTTTCAGTGACGTCGTAACTTCCAACGGTCAGTAAATGAACTGTTCTACGTCAAGGACTCCCTGTAGAAGTAACTTAAGGTGGCAAATATTCTTAATATTCCTTCCTTCTTCCCCCCTCCTGCAACAACAACCCTGTGAGGCGGGTTAGGTTGAGAGAGGGGGACTGGCTTAGGATCAATGTGTTCTGTCCCCGTCTCACACACGCACACAAACAGATAGCCAGGGGTTAAATAAAACTGGCAGACAACAAATTCTTTCGATAAGAGGATTGGCAGCAACCCAGTAGCTGCTTGCCAAGAACTTTACTCATAGAGGGAGAGGTTGTTCCTCCGACAGATAAACCCAAACAAGATACACACAGTTCAAGAATTGTCAAGTCCAGTCCGTATTAAATCCAAGGCACATAACGTTGTTTCAAAGATACAATGTGACTCGCTAGTAGTTAGTTTTGTCCGTCACAGAGTCTGAATGGCCACCTCACCCCCTTTTATCCCCTGTGGGGTGTGGTCCAGTGACTCAGCTTAATCTCTGGCACGCCTCCTTTTCTGCTGCGTGCGCTTGTCTCTCCGACGCTGGAGTGGATCCAGCCAAGACTTATCTCCATCACTGTCCGACTGTGAGGAGATACCTGGCTCCTGGCCAATCTCTTCTCCCTCGGGAGACACCTGAGTCATTGCCAGAGAGGAGGGTCCTGGAGAGGGAGGCCTGGCCAACTCCTCTCCTTCATGTTCGGAGCCTTCTCCCTCCGATAAGTCGGCCTCGGGGGTCGGAGTCACAACACAATGTGATGCAAACAAAAAACTGCAGGTATATTTTATTTAGGTGTGCACATTTTCTAATATCTATAACAGTGATGGCTAACCTTTTTGCCATCGCGTGCCAAAAGTGAGGGGGAAGCATGGGGGGGTAGAGCGTGCACATGCCGACACCCATAATTCAATGCGCCCTGCCCTGTACGACCCCGTTTTTGGCACACAATGGCCCAGTGGGCCCGGTAGGCCCATTTCTTTGCCCTCCCCAGGCTCCAGAGTCTTTCTAGGAGCCTGGGGAGGGCGAAAACAGCCTTCCCCACTCCCCCGGAGGCCCTCTGGAGGCCAGAAACGGCCCGTTTCCAGACTTCCAGTGGGCCCAAAACACCCAAAAATCAGCTGGCTAGCGCACACATGCGGGCTGGAGCTGAGCTAGGGCAATGCTCGCGTGCCCACAGATATGGCTCCGTGAGTCACCTGTGGCTACGCGTGCCATAGGTTCGCCATCACGGATCTATAGATTTGCAAGCAATTTCCCCCCGTGGGATGCAATTTCGTGCTCCTTTTCCGATTGGGAAGCTTGTTGGAAAAAAAGATGGATAATTAGTTGTATTGTATTTTGCAAGTCAGTTGAGGATAATACCCAGGAGAGAAAAAAATTGCTTTCATTTTACTGTATTCCCTTCCTTACCTGGAGGGAGGTGTCGCCCTCTGGTGGACACCTGGCGAAATTCTACCTCTTCAAAAGAGGGTACCGTTTGTGGTTCTAACTATATCGATATACAGGTAGTAGTCCTCGACTTATGACCACAATTTACGTTGCTAAGAAAGACAGCGGTTAAATGAGTTTTGCTCTGTTTCGTGACCTTTCTCACCGCAGTTGTTAAGTGAGTCACTGCAGTTGTTAAGACAGTATCACGGTCCCCGTTGATTTTGCTTGTCAAAAAGTCGCAAAAGGGGATCACAGGACCCCGGGATGCTACGACCGTCATAAATATGAGTCCATTGCCAAGCGTCCAAATTTTGATCACCATAGGGATGCTGCAACGGTCATAAATGTGAAAAACTTGTCATACGTCACTTTTTTTTCAGTGCCATTGTAAGTTTGAACGGTCACTAAAAAAATGTTGTAAATCAAGGACCCAGATTGCCTCTGTAAACCGCTTAGAGAGGGCTGGAAAAGCACCGTGAAGCGGTATATACAGCGTAATCCTCGATTTACGGCCACAATTGAGTCCAAAATGTTTGTTGTTAAGTGAGACGTTTGTTCAGTGAGTTTTGACCCGTTTTACAATCTTTCTCGCCGCGGTTGTTAAGTGGGTGCCTGCAGTTGATAAGTGAGTCACACGGCTGTTGAGTGAATGTGGCTTCCCGCATTGACTTTGCTTGTCAGAGGGTCTCAAAAGGGGATGTCATAAATATGAGCCAGTTGCCGATACTGTCAACGGTTATAAGTGTGAAAAACAATCAAAAGTCACTGTTTTCAGTGCCATTGTAAGTTTGAATTGTCACTAAACAAAACTGTTGTAAGTTGAGGATTACCTGTACCTGTATTTCGTTTCACACAAACACAGAGACACACAACCGACATCCTCAAGCCTCTCTCTTTGCTCCTGTGGGATGTTATTCAAGCCGAGGAGGAAGGCTCACTCGAGTCCTATTATTTGAAATCTTCCTCTTCCTCTCTGGACTCCCAAAATCCCTCCTGGCTTGTTTGCTCAACGCTGATTTTTTCCACCGTGGCCTTTTGCGCCGAAAGGAGTTTGAAACTTCTCCTTGTGCTCGTCGCCCTGAAAGGAAAAGCTTGCAGAATATTTACAAATATGGATGCTTTAGAAATGGATGGTTAGAACAGGCATATGTTCTACTTACGAGCGTTCGTTTAGTGACCGTTCAAAGTTACGACGGCACTGGGGGGAAAAAAAGGATCGATGAACATTTGTCACACTTATTTATTTTATTTTATTTATTTTATTAATTCAATTTATATGCCAATTTATATTACTGCGAGTTCAAATCTCACCAGGCTCAAGGTTGACTCAGCCTTCCATCCTTCCCAGGTAGGTAAAATGAGGACCCGGTTTGTGGGGGCAATAAGCTGACTTTGTATAAAAAAGAACACCGCTTGGGGGGGGGCCAAAAGCCCCCCTTAGCAGGTATATACAAAATTATGAAAGCTATTGCTTAACGCATTGTAAGCAGCCCTGAGTCTCCGGAGAAGGGCGGCATATAAAATTGAACCAATAAATAAACAATAAATAAATAAATTCAAATTATATTAAAGGGGAAAAAAAAGAGGTTGGAATTCAGACACTAGTTCGTAGACATATCTGAATTCTCTGTACAGCCCCGAATAACATAAAAGCGTGAAACAATTTTCTCAGCTGAACAAGCACTAAAAAAAGCGCTTAAAGTTTAGTCTTAAAGTTGCTGAACTTGAGAAATACAATTTTAATGTGAAGGTTGTCCTCGATGTACGACCATAACTGAGCCCAAAATTCCCGCTGCTAAGCAAGACACTTGGTTAAGTGCGTTTTGCCCCATTTTATGACTGTTCTGGCCACGGGTTGCTAAGTGAATCATTGTTGCTAAGTGAATCACTGCAGTTGTTAAGATAAGCAACACCGTTGTTAAGTGAATCTGGCTCCCCCTTTGACTTTTGCTTGTCAGAAGGTCGCAAAAGGGGGACACTGGGACCGTCATAAATATGAGCCAGTTGCCAAGCGTCTGAATTTTGATCACGTGACTTATGGGGATGCAACGGTCATAAGTGGGAGGACGGGTCTCAAGTCACTTTTTTCAGTGCCGTTGTCATTTCAAACGGTCACTACATGAACGGTTGCAAATCGAGGGCGACTTGTGATTAAAATCATCATAAATAACCAAATTCTGGAGCTTCCAGGTTTCCTAAATATCAGGGAAGTTTGACTAGATGCCACTGACTAGCTGGAACCGCAACATCCATTGTGTCCCATGCAACTTAGAATGCGTTGTTGTGGTGCTACAGCTGTGTTGTAATCCTCCGTTCGACGCCATTGCCTAGATCTCCAGAGAACCTCCTAATGAATGAAACTCGGAAGGTGGCACACCGAGGGACTGTCCTCTTTCCATGATCACATTCGCCGTGGGCTGTGTCACATGCCCTCCATTCATGAGATCCTTAACCAGATTAATAAATTAACAGAGTTGGAAGGGACCTTGGAGGTCATCTAGTCCAACCC